TCTACAAGTTCAAAACCACTTCGAAAACTTTAATTTTTTCAATATTTCCTGGGTTTATTTTAATCCTTTGGGCATTTATTAACTGCACATTTGTTCAGACTGTGTAATTGTTCGTAGTTTGCTCCACTGTAACCAGGGGGCGCTTTAAATAATTAAAAATACCTCGAAAATTATAATATTTTCAATATTATTCTAATTTCTTCCGGATTTTCCTGGGATTTTTCGTAGACATTCACCTACTACATTTATTTTCTTTCGTTGTTTTACCAATTGTTCATTCCTTCACCACTAGGTGGCGCTGTACAAAGAAGAAAATACAAAGAAAAACGCATTTTCCAACAAGTTCTTATATCTTCCAATCAAATTTGTTTGAGAAATTATCCTATTTCCTTCCGTTCTTATTGTTCTTCTTCTATTATTTACTAGTTTCTTGTTCTAAATCAATTTTCATTCATTTTCACTGATCAATCATGTCTTTGGAAGCCTTCATTCGTCAAGCCGATCGTCTGGTCACCTTCAATGCCGAAGTAGTCGGTGGTAATGTTCCCTTGACGTCTGCCCAATTCGTAAAAATTCACATTTCTGAAGTTAAGTCCTTATGGGCAGGCATCAAATCAGCGTATGACCAATTTATGTCCGATCGAGCTAGCGAAGAACAGAACGAGGAGGATGATGAACAGGAAGAAGATGCAGAAGCCGCTTCAGAGCTTGAGACATTCCAAGCCAAGTATAATAGTGCCTATATCACTTATTGCGAGTGCTTGGCTCGCCTTACACAGTTGTCTGAGGATCTCCAAACAGTTCCTAAAGAGCCGCCTGTTTCACTTCCAAACCCTTCGCCTCAGAGTCCTAATGCTATGGTCCATAATGATCACGGTTCATATTATTCTTTCAATCTGCCTCCATGCGATACCGAAGTCTTCAACGGGGATTATATGTCATGGCCTACTTTCCGAGATATATTCACAGCCGTGTACATAAAAAATTCTAGGCTCAGTCCAGTCGAGCGATTGTTTCATTTGACCCAGAAGACTAAAGGCGAAGCTAGAGATATTGTTCAACGCGCACCTTTGACAAATCAAGGTTTTCAACTTGCTTGGAAAGGTTTGTGCGATCGTTTCGAAAATAAGCGAATTCTTGTTAATGGTCAGTTAAAAGTTCTATTCAATCTTCCTGTCATTAATTCCGAGTCAGCGAGTGCAATTAAGTCATTGCAACGCGACATAAATTCTTGTATTGCTGCGTTATCTCTGTACGATATCGACGTCAGAAGTTGGGATCCAATATTTGTTTTTCTTTGTTCGAATAGTCTTCCTGACTCAACTCTGACGCTTTGGGAACAAGGTTTGGCTGATAAGACTGTTATTCCAAAATGGGCTGACCTTGATTCTTTCCTTACGAATCGACATCGTACACTCGAATCCGTCTCCGAGATGCGCAATTATCCGAAGTCTGATGGTCATAAAACTAAATCCAATGTACATTCAAATAATTCGAAGTTCAGCTCATTCCAGACCAATGTTACAGCTCCAAATTGTCCATTGTGCACAAATTCCGCTCATATAATTCGAGAATGTCCTAGATTCATTTCTATGGATGTTGAACAACGAGTGGCTGAGATCAAGAAACAAGGTCTATGTTTGAATTGTTTCTCGAAAACTCACCACATAAAAAATTGTACTAGTAAAAATAATTGTTTCGAATGTCAGAGGCGGCACAACACTATGCTCCATGATCGTTCGTCAAATAGTCGTCCATCAATTTCACCTACGAGCTCTACCAATTTAAGCCCACACTCCACTCCATTTTCTTCCAATTCAATACAGTCCACTAGTCCAGGGGGTGGAGTAATTCAAACATGCTTTACGTCCAACTCCCGGGGTGTTTTGTTAGGGACTGCGTTGGTGAATGTGATCCACTTAGGAGTAACGTATCACGCTCGTGTACTCCTAGATTCGGGTTCTCAAGGAACATTCATATCAGAACGATTCTTCAACAAACTCAAACTTCCGTATCAGCGTACCAACGTTCAAGTTTCTGGTCTTAATAATTCGACAGCTGCCTCCGTTCGAAAATTATGTTCTGTTGTGCTGTCCTCTCGATTTGATGATTCCGTTCAGCTTTCCGTGCAAGCATTCGTGGTTCCACATTTGTCTGGAAATCTTCCTTCCCGCACATTACCACCATCTTTGTTCTCACAACTTCCTTCAATTAATCTGGCTGACCCACATTTCTTCAAAAGCTCCAGCATCGATATCCTTATAGGCGGTGATTTTCTTCCAAACATCATGCGTGCTGGGGTAATGCGCGATATTTGCGACTCCTTAATGGGACAAGAAACTATCTTCGGATGGATTTTAACTGGCCCCGTTCCGGATTTCCCTCCACCAGCCTCTCTTATTTCCAATTTCTGCGAGGTCTCCTTAGTCAAAGAGATTTGTCATTCCTACGAAGTTGAGAACCTTCCTAGAGATAAAATTCTCCCTGACACCGATGAATATTGTGAGGAGCTCTACGTTTCCACTACAAAAAGGAATAAAGATGGTAGGTATGTCGTTCGTTTTCCTTTCAACCAAGGTTCCTCAGAGAAAATGGGCCTTGGTCGATTCCGTTCAAGAGTTATAAAACAATTCCATCGCAATGAGAGCCGACTTCTTCGTAATTCAGACTGTAAAAAGGAGTATGATCAGGTACTCAATGAGTACGTTCAGTCGAAACACATGGTCTCAGTTCCTAATCCATGTTTAAATAGTGATTCACGCCATTATTATTTACCACATCACACGGTTATTAAGCCGGAGAGCTCGACCACCAAGGTTCGGGTGTTCTTTAATGCTCCTTCCGATACGTCCAATGGTCACAGCCTGAACGATGTTTTGCACGCTGGTCCGGTGTTGCAATCTGACTTGACCACTTTACTTCTCAAATGGCGTTTCTTCCAAATTGTATTCAATGCGGACATCGATAATATGTACCGCCAGATTCTTGTTCATCCAGATCATACTCCATTCCAATGTATCATATTCCGCAACCACCCAGGTGAAAACATTCATGATTTCGAGTTACAAACTGTCACTTTCTGTGTCAATTGTGCTCCGTACTTGGCTATTCGCACTATTCTCCAACTTGCTGACGATGTTCAAGATTTATATACAATTGCAAGCGAGTTTTTTCATAATTTCATGTACGTCGATGACGTGATTTTCGGATCCCATTCTGTTTCGTCCGCCATTCGATCCAAAGCCGAACTCAAATCTGTCCTGGATTCCGCTGGTCTTTGCCTTCGAAAATGGACATCTAATTCGAGAGACATTCGAGATCTTCCCAATGATCATATATTTCATGTAGCCTTGTCATGTTCTTATACAAAATGGGAGATCCTGTCTCAGATCCCCAAATTATTCGATCCTGCCGATTGGCTTTCGCCATGCACAGTTGTAGCGAAGGTTATTATGCAGAAGATATGGTCCGATTATGCAGAAGATATGATCCCAGGTATAAGTCCCTCCACATTGTCCAATTGGAAAATATTCCAGTCAAACTACTTAGTTCATGATAGAGTTCGAATTCCGATGCGGATCAGTTTTACTCCTTCGGCTGGCATTCAGTTCCATGGCTTTTGCGATGCATCCAGAAAGGCATACGCAGCCGTTTTTTACGTGCGAATAGCTATAGGTACGTCCGTATTCACTCACCTGGTGTATTCCAAGATAAGAGTTGCTCCAGTGAACACACTAGTCGCTATTCCTGTCGATTATATTCCACCAATTAATGCACTATTGTTTTTTCCTCCTTCCCAAAAAGCACAGACTTTCCTTTACAGCAGACTTTAGTATCCAGTGGCTACGGACATATATATTCTGGAGGTGGTCACTCTGAAGGAAGACTGTATCCTGGTACCAGCCCGTTCACAACTCTATATACATATATTTAAATACATTCAATTTGTTGTAAACAAGAGAGAGAGTGCTACTTTTTGGTTAATTTCTTTAGTTGCAGTTCCTGCAAGGGGGCCGGTAATGTTAACGCCAAGGTTAACTATGCTGGTCACCCTATTTTCTATTTTCCATTTTTCTTTTATTCGCCTAAATTTGCATCTCTCTCTTGGTACTAAATGCAAATGTTTTATGTTTTCCACTGGTTGTTTTCTTTGTTCTCATTGTAAATAAAAACACTTCTACTCTAACCAGCAAACACAACTGTCATTGGTAAGACTCGTTTCCAAATTCTATACCGAATTTTGTCCAATAAAATTCCACTATTTGGAAAATTCCCATTCTAAAACCCTTGTTTTTCTTTCTTTGGTTTTTTCATAACTATTCCGAGGAGAAATTATTCCTGCTCAAGAGACTATACTTTCCTAATTTCGGCAGCAGTTAACCATCCCAGCTTTTACAGGAAATCCAGTTTGGCATTTTCACTCATATAATCCATCAATTCATGAAAGTCCACAAAAGACTTAAGAAACGAACTCTATACAGTTATTTGGTATAGAGAGTGTGGGAAGATATTTGTTCATTTGTTCTCTTAAAATCAATAAAACACAAATTAATTTAAAAGACTTAAGAAACGAACTTTTTAGTAATTAAATACAGGATAATAGTGGGGAGAGAACTTTATTATATTAATAGATGCAAACAGAAGACTTAAGAAACAAACTTTTTTAATTCTTTGAGATGCATTTAAATATTTGTAATAAAAAATATTCGTTGATAAAAAATAAAATATTTTAAAAATAAATTAAGAATATTTAATTTATTTTTAATTTTATTTTATTTATAAAAAAATACTTTTTATTTCTACTTAATTTTTGTTTTGTTAATAAATATTTTATTGTTCCATAATAAATAAAAATATTTATTTTTTTCATATTGCATTTGTTTTGATTACAGATATCGGAATTTTTTATTATATTCTTTTATCAAAAAAAAAAAATACTTTTAATTACTTTTCATATAATTTTTAGTTTTTTACTTAATGTAAAGTAAATTTAAATCAACAATTAATTTTTATTTATTTTTTTTTTTTTTTTTTTGTTTTTTATTTCCAGGTGAGTGATTTCATTATGGATATGATTTCAATGTAATACGTATGTATGAAAATCTGTTAATTTGTATTTCCTATCAAAAACATTTTTATACTGCCATTTACCTCCTCTCCATAATGAAAATAATAAATAAACTACTTAAGGGCATCATCTTCTATGACAAACGAATGGTATCTTGTAAGCCAGAGAGTCTGAGAGTTATCTCTGAGAGAAACAGTAATGGGGTATTTATTTGAATGCCTTCAAGAGCAAAAGACTCAGGAAACGAACGTATTTTGCATAACATGAACGGTGTATATCATTGCTCCTCAGTCTCTCAATATCTCACTCTCTTTGTATCATTCTCTTTTTAAACGGAATAAACCCAATAGGTAAACAAAAAAGACTTAAGAAACGAACTTCTTATAGAAAATAAATTTGGTCGTTTAACGGATGGACAGAGAGAGGGAGAGAGAGTTCGAGATTTATGAGATGATAAGATTTAATTTATACTAATAAAAGAGTAAAATGATTGACTGACTGACTGATTTAACGATTCATCAACGGCCAGACGAAACGACTGGAGCTAGAATCTTGAGATTTTTTGGTGAGGGTCACTCTTGGTCCAAATGTGACAGATAAGGCTGGGTTTTTGGAAATTCGTACTAGAACGGTACGAAAAGTACTAAATGTGATACGATTTGTATTTGGCGAACCGGTGGAGCTACAACTCTGAAATTTGGGTTGGTGGTCGTTGATGGAGTGTAGGATAGATGTACCAAAGGGTTTTTGGAAATTCGAACTATAACTATCCGAAAAGTACGAAAATGTATTAAATTTGTTTCAATTTCGTAGCATGTGAACGGATAGTGTTAAAAACTTGAAATTTGGAGTGTGAATTAAGGTTGAGAAGTAGGTTTTATTTATGGAAATCGTTTTGTAAGCGTGTACTCATGTGTACGAAAAGTACCATATGGTACTATATTTAGTGCAAATTTATTTTGGCGGTACAAATCGAGCTGGAATCCTGAAATTTGAAATTAACCTTACCGTCGGAGTATAGGAATGGGATATCTACGTAGTTTTGTAAATTTTTTACTGATGTGTACGAAAAGTGCTAAATAGTACTATAATTGGTACCAATGGAATTGGGATGATCCGATAGAGCGGAAACAATGGAATTTGGAGTCAGGATCACTGTAGGGGTGTAGGATTAAGGGTCAGGATTCAGTTTAAGAAATTAATACTTATGGGTACTAAATGGTACTAAATTGGGTACAATTTGAATTTTAAGTGAACCAATAGAGCTAGAATCATGAAACTTGGGGTCAGGTTCATTGTTGAGGTGTAAGATTGAGATATGTAGGAAGTTTTAGAAATTTGTACTACTGTGTACTCAATTTAGTACAATTTGAATTGTAGGTGAACCGATAGAGTTGGAATCCGGAAACTTGGATTTAGGATGTTTGGGTTAAGTAGGAGGTTTTGGGAAATTCGTACTACTGTGTACTAAATTTGGTACAATGTAAATTGTGGGTGAACCGATAGAGTTGGAATCCGGAAACTTGGATTTAGGATCACTGTGGGGGTATAGGATTGGGGTATGTAGGAAATTTTGGAAATTCGTACTATGGTACAATGTAAATTGTGGGTGAACCGATAGAATTGGAATCCGGAAACTTGGATTCAGGATCACTGTGGGGGTATAGGATTGGGGTATGTAGGAAATTTTGGAAATTCGTACTACTGTGTACTAAATTTGGTAGGATTTGAATTATGGGTGAGCCGATAGAGTTGGATTCCTGAAACTTGGATTCAGGATCACTGTGGGGGTATAGGATTGGGGTATGTAGGAAGATTTGGATATTTGTACTACTGTGTACTAAATTTGGTACAATTTGAATTGTGGGCGAACCGATATAGTTGGAATCCTGAAACATGGATTTAGGATTATTGTGGGGGTATAGGATCGGGGTATGCAGGATGTTTTGTTGGATGTGTTCTAAATGGAACCAAATTTGATACAATTTGGATTTGGGTGAACTTTAAGAGCTCTGACATATGCAGTTTTCTGCAAAATAAAATAATATGTTAATACATGTTTAAAAATTTATCCCACATTCGCTAACCAAGTAGCGAGTATATGCTAGTTATAATAATATAATTCTTAATTTTTTACAGCGAGCCCACACAAGGTTTGGATTTTTTTTAAACATATTTTTCTCGAGGCTCCATAAGGCGTGGATTTTTTAACATATGTTTTTTTAAGTCTCCACAAGGCGTAGATTTGTAAAAATATATTTTTCTTAAGTCTCCACAAGACGTAGATTTTTAAAAATATGTTTTCTTAAGTCTCCACAAGGAGTAAATTTGTAAAAATATATTTTTCTTAAGTCTCCACAAGGCGTAGATTTTTAAACATATATTTTTCTTAAGTCTCCACAAGGCGTAGATTTTTAAACATATGTTTTCTTAAGTCTCCACAAGGCGTAGCTTAAGGCGTCTATTTTTTAAATATTTTTTAGGATAGTTTTCTAATATTTTTTATTCAATAATATTGATTTTGGATTTACTATAAGACTTAAGCAACAAACTTGAAGTACCCACCTCGTCTAATTCGTTTCCGACCACTGCTGCTAAACAGCTAACCATTCATTTAGTCACTGTGGCATTTAAGCGTAACGCTTGCTGGATCTGTATGCAACTTTACTATAAACGATGACTTAAAAAGCCGGTATAATTTCAAACATACATACATACCTACCTACGTACGTATGTTTGTATGACGATTGTTGCCGGTGATTTGTTTTGTTGCAGGTTGTTTGGCGAATGAGTGAGTTGGTTGGTTGGTTAGTTAGCAAGTGTGGTGGTGCATGTTACTGTTTCTGCTGCTAACCATATTATTCATATGTATGAATGTGTGTGTGTCTGTCTGTGAGTATGCAATCTGCAAACACTATAATCATGCGGAAATGTGGAAACGCACGACTCCCATTTATATTCTTTTTTTGCTGCTTTGAAATTCTATGGAAAATCGGTTACAAGTTCTAGCAGCACACACACTCTTCTCCTACTGCCTGCCTACCTACCCCTACCCCCTTCAAACTAGTTAGCTAGCTGGTTGCCCACCATTGCT